TACAAAGCTATGAAGTGTCTTGCTAGAGTGACTATGACTGTGATTGCTCAGATGTCTGGTATAGCTACTGCTATACATTATTTTGATAATAAGCATTGTATAGTTCATACAAGTTTATTTCCAGATGTCAATGTTGCTAACGGTCCAACGTTATCGATGGCTATTTTTGGAAAAACTTAAGCTGGAGTATCAGTTATTATCATAACTTCTTTTGTTTTTATTCATGTTAATTCTTGAAATGGGCTCTCCCATTTCAGCTCTGTTCGCTGACCTTGTAATAGATGACCTGGAAAATGACTGCCTCTCCATTTTTAAAAATATTTACAATATTACTCTATCTTTTTATTTTCATTACGTAGATGATGTATTATTTTTTATCAACATGGACCACATTGACCAAATATTGAATGTTTTTAATTTATATCATCCTAAACTATAGCTTACACATGAAATAAAGATTGACAATAAACTTAATTTTTCAGACTTGACCATAATCAGAAATTTAAATCATTTTAATTTCGACTGGTTTGAAAAACCGACTTCTTCCAGACTTATCTTAAAATATTTTTCTGGTTATCCCGTTAGCTACTAAGGAAATATTGTTTTTAATTTATTTGATAGAGTGATTTTAGTTTCCAGTACCCGTTTTCACAGTGTAAATATCGCTAGAGTAAAAAATCGTTTGACAAAAAATAATTACCCTTGAAACTTTATTCACAAAAATATAAAAGTTATATTAAAAAGATACAAGTATATTAATCACAACAAAACTACTTAAACTCTGATCCTGTCTGCAAAATTGGTATACCCATGTATAGACAATAATAAAAAAAAAAAATTAACCATGTTAAAACTTTATAATATTTAAACTTACTCTCTTATCAACAACAAAATAAATCACGTCATCTGTTAAGGAAAATATAAAACGGAAAAACTTAAAGACAAATGTCGTGTATAAATTTTATTGTAAAAATTGTCCTGCGTCATATGTGGGTTAGACAAAGCGAGCTGCTGAGGTCCGCATTCATGAACACATTAGAAACAGAAATATTGACTCCGTTGCTTGCACACATCAAAACATTTTTAACCATGAATTCAATTAGGACAACTTGAAAATCTTTGACAAAGAATCTAATTACAAAAAAAAAAATTACTATTTCTGAAATACTCCATATTAAACTAGACAAGCATAACATTAATAGAAAGGAAGATGTGCTTTCCTTGAATACGAAAGTTCAAATGTCCCGATCTACATCGTCGCCCTTGACCGTCTACCTTTGTTGCTTCGCTAATATAAGCGCTGGCGTGGTGTATAATTTATTACAGTCGATAGTTCGACAGGGGATGGATTAGTTAATATACTTACGAATTATTGCGTACCTGGGTAATAATTTATATCTTAAGTTTTATTTCGTTTGATCAGATCTCTTATCATGTTTTTAATTCTGTATCCTAATGAGGCTGACACAAATGACCCGAATCATCTAAATTTAAAGGTACGAGATTTTGAAAAGGAATTTTGATTTTTACTGGCTCTCTTTTAGTGTTACATAGTGGTTATAGCCATCGTAAGACAGTGACCTTTATCATACGTTACGGCTGCTTTGCCTATTAATATACCATGAGTGGTTTTTATTAAGTGCATGTATGCTTGGCCTTGACTGATAGCTTACGTTACAGGAATTTTTATTCGAACTCATAAGAATAAACTCAGAATAATCTGGCTTTTATTTTATATACGCGATTTGCACTAAAAGTTACTTCTGTAGACTTAAAATGTTTAGAAAATTACAAAAGTTTCGAGTTTTCTTTATTTATGCCAATATTATCTATAATTTTGTGAAAATTTTCTTGATTACTCAAACATTCTGTCGTTGTATCGAGCCATGACACTCCACGCTCTTCGTTGTTTGTTAATGCAATTCTTACTATACTAAGGGGCTTTGCCCTCTGCGCGCTCCGCGTGCCAACCCCCCAAACTTTTTTGATTAAACACATTTCTAATAATTATTTAATCTAAATCGAATGATTAAATTTTAAAAATAAATCCAAGCTCAATCGAATGAAACGACCTCAATTAGCCTGTAGTGCGCTAGATGTAGCCAGCGATTGTTTACTTAATCTCATATGTACATTTAAATGTACCTCCTTTCGTCCCTCACGACCAATCGGATCACGGGGTATTCTGTCGACAGTCACGTGATACTGATTCTTTTAGGATAGAAATGGGATGGGACTTGTTGGTTTTTTTTTCAGTATCAAGGTTCTTATGTCATAAAAAAGCCTGGTTTGATCTTTAGCTGGAAATAAATTTCCAAATATTCCTGTCTCACTAAATAATGTTTCTTTTGATAAACATAAAAAACGTGGTTTTAATTAAATATGTTTGATGTCACTGTTTTTATGTTATTATATTTTTAGAGGTTAACCTAATTAGAGGAATTTTTGTATCCGTATGTATAGTAACATTTAATAGCAATAAAAATAATGTTTTTGGCATTGACGTCAGCTCCCGTATCTATGATGAATGCGTCTTTGCGTTTATTTAATTGTGAAATTTTCATCCTTACTTTCGGTGTATTGCTAATTTTTCTTGCGACGGACTGGGTGATTGCATAAGTTGGTTTGTCAGCATACGCTAATTCAGGTCCTTGCTCACCGCTACGTCTAAGTGACGAGTACTATTCTTGTTTAAAGGTTGGCTGAGTTTAGCGTGATTCTCGTGGTGTCTGAATGTTTTTGCAAGTTTAGAGTTAATTTTCCATTGGAAAAAAATCGAGTTGCCAAATATATACTGCAGCAAGCTTGTGTAAAAGGGCCAATTTAAATAGGTAAATAATTGATTTAATGTTGTATTAGTTGTGTGGGGCCAAAATTTTGATGATTCTTTTACGAGTTGTTCATAGGTTGATAAGGTTGCGTTTTATTTGATTCTTGTAACAATTTTACTGATTAATCAGTAAAGTCGTTATTTCTTTATTGGAGAGCTAGGTGTGATACTATTTTCCCGTCTGAATTGAACGTAGTAGGAAAAATGTTTGTGTCATTAGAATTGTAGTAATAAGATATATTATCAGGATTGTTCATGTTGGAATCGTCATATCTAACTCACTGTATATTGTTTTAATTGGGCTGCAAATATGAAAAATGTTTTTGTCTGCTTTGTTATTTCACTGATACATCTTGTCTTGCTGTAGGGTGTAACTGCTGAGTAAGGTACGAATGTGAAATTTGATAATATATGGTAGTATGAGTATTGGGATATAATATTGTTTTAACATCTTTGGCTTCTAAAGCTATCTGTGAAGCGCCAGCAAAAGTTTTTGCTACGTTTGACATCATGTTGGTCTTGAATCCATTGGGTCGACCTGTCATGAATGCTTCATGGCTAACCATTTCTAGATATGATTTGGAATTGAACTGTTGGTTTTCATAATATTGTTGAAAGCAGCTTTTATTTTTGTTGCTCAAGCGCCTTAGTTAAAAAGTTGAGAAATTTGATCGTGAAAATCACGAACAGTTTTCCCCTATTTCACCTAAGAATTCTTAATGTCAGTAATGTATTGAGCGTAAGCTTTAGGAGATATAAAGTCTTCTTTTGAGTGGCTTATAAGATCATCTGATGCATTTAATGTTAATCCATCTAGATAACTTCTTGCTCTACCACTTAGCCTTGAAACGACTGTTTTTGAAAACACGGGTTCTTCCGCATTTGAGATACAAGAACTGTCATTTTTAATATTTTGTAAATAATCTTTAAATGATGTATTAAGCCCATTGTACATGGGTATGTATAGGGCAGCTTAATTCACACAGAAGGCTGAATTATTGAGAGCTACGTTAACTTTAAGAGTCCTAAGATTGACCTTAACTTATGTGACCTCCCTTGTAATAAGTATAAAGTCTATTACTGACTCTTAGTGGCTGTGTTAATACTTCGCCCTAGTTAAACTATGTGTCTGTAGGAGTAAAGTGATGTGCGAAAAAATTTAAAATTATTTTTACTCATAATTTGTGTGGAAAAAATTAGAGTTGGAATTAAATTTCATTTTTATCCCCAAGCGTGAATTTCAAATTGTCTGTTGGTTCTGGCATGTTTTAAAATGTAATAAATATTATTATTAGCTAATTAAGAGTTGCGCCAATTATCTTAAAAAATATAAATGAATTACATAGTGATTAAAAGCACAATTTCTTTAGTGTAAAATTGAAATCACGTTGTATGAATTAAAAAAA